CTTTTAAATATAAAAGAGCAAGAACTATCCTAAGGCCGTGTCATTCAAAAACTTAGGTGATAGCAGAACAGTTTTTTCCCTGGAATCTTCTGAATTTTGTCCAGAATTCTATCCCTTTGAATTTGTTTCTTTGTTAGTTCCTGGTTCCTCTTTATTGTTGTTATCTTGGCACTAATCTTTGTTTACCCAGGTTCTGACATTTTTACCCCAGAATTAATTACCCCAGATGGTCTGCTCTACTGTGTTTTCCAAGCAAACAAAGAGGGCAGGAAATAAGAATTTCCTGAGCAAATAGGCTTTCCGTTTTAATGTGAAACTACCTTTGAGATGCTTGTTTATCTTGTATCTACTTTTCTTATTTATAATTGGTTAGTGTTTCTTTTTTTTTTTTTTTGCATCTAATTTGATTTTACCTTTTCACTTAAAATTAGGTCCTGATATTTTTACCCTTTGCGCCCTCAGTCTCCTTTATAGAATCTTACTTTTCTGTCTAATTTAAACTAGTCCATTCTTCCCATTGACTACCTTCTTGCCCAGGATAACTTATCCATACCTAGAACTTTGGCTCAGGATATCTTTGTGCTTTTAGGCAACTTCCTTTGATATTCCCAACTGAGTGATTAACAGATGTGGATGAGCTCTTTGGAGCCTTTGGGCTTTGCACAGTCACTCCTGAGTTTGGCAAGTCATTCAGTGACCAGATGTTTGATCTCATCTTCCCAACCTCCTGTCCTCTCTCCACCTCAGTTCTGTTCTTTGAGGGCTATAACCTTTCTGTCTTTCTCCTGATGCTGTGGCAGGAGTCTTAGAAATAACTGCCTTAAATATAGGGACCACTAGGACTTTGCCTCAACACATAATCCAGATGACCAGTAATAACTGTCTTCCAGCCCTGAAACACTATCTCAGCTTGAAATGGGGTACAGCCACTCCAGACATCTGGAAGCTGCCACCCTTCTTCCTCTCCAGGTGCAGATGTTGTCTGTATCAGGGAGATAGCCTCCCTGGAAATCTATCATCAGTCTTGGCTTTTTCTCCTCTGTCTTTTCTAGCCTGTCACATTCATCCATTTATCAACATTTATCAACACCAACTAGGTGCCCGGCATCATGCTGGTCTTTGGAAGTACCATCAGGATCATAATAAAGCATTCTAAACGCTGAAGAATGGCACAAAACAGACCTTTAAGCCGCATAGGGGGTGCTTAGTGAGGCATGCATACAAAGGTCATGTAAGCCTACTTTTGAAGAGTTATTTGCTGAACATTGTCCACTCTGCCTGTTTTGTCCTGGGACACTCCTTCCAGGGGAAATAGATTGGAAAGAATCCTGAATACAAAAGCCTGGCAGACACCACCTTAACCTAGTAACCAAGCTAACATTGGCAATGTCCTGGAGCCTGATGTGATGCACAGAGAATAGAACTGATATTTCTAGGGAAATGCTTTACCTGAAACTAATATAAAGAAACAACTGACAAACTCAGATTGAGGACTATCTTACAAAATAACTGGCCTGTATTTCGCAAAAAGATCACTGCTATAAAAGACTGAGGAAAAGTAGACTAAAGAGACATGGCAACTGAATACAGTGCATGATCGAGGATTTAATTTTATTACTATGGTCATCGGAGTAATTGGCAAAATCTAATGTTATCTGAAGATTAAAGTATTATATCAATGCTAATTTCCTGATCTTGAGAATTATGGTAGATATATATGAGAATGTCCTTGTTTTTAGGAGTAAACATTGTATAGTACACTTATTTGGGGTAAAGAAGCATCAGGTCTACAATATGTTCTCAAGTGATAGAGAAGAAAAGTTGTGTGTGTGTGTGTGTGTGTGTGTGTGTGTGTAGAAAGGAAGAGGGAAAGAGATAAAAGGTAAACGTAGTGATGTTAAAATTGGGGGAAATCTGAGTGAAATATACTTTTCTGTAAATCTGAAATTATGTCAATTATGTCAAAAAAAAAAAGGAATTGGCAGGATCCACCAAGTAAGGCAGTCTTGCCTTCTCGTGACCTTGGGCCTCCTGGGCTGCCGTGGCAGTATCCCATGCAACAAGAATCACTCTATTTTCTAGTTGTGGCTCCTCTATGTTGCAGATGCCCAAAGGTATCTCTAAGCCCCCAGACCCTGTGCCATTTCCCCTTCTGTACACAGGCATATTCCAGGAATGGAGCTGAATGGTACCTGACAAATCCCTGCTTACCTAAATAGACAGAGCCAGAACGCTCACAACTACCACAGACAACTGTCTGTATTCCAAATAGTGTTCTCCAACTGAGAACAATTCTTCCATCCCACTAGTTGAATCCTTCTGCTACAAAACAGAAGTTAATCTGTTTCTAATGCTTTGTGAAGGCAGAAAATTATAGGCCTGTGTTTTCTCCATTTTAAAAAGTAAAATCTGTAGTTTCTTGACACTTGGCTGTTTAATTGTTGTTATTGGTGGGTTTTGTTTTTGAGAGCAGTTTTAGACTTACAACAAAACTGAGCACAAAATACATAGAATTCCCGCATACTTCTTTCTCCTAATACAAAACCTCCTCCCCCACCAACATCTGACAACATCTGGTGGTACATTTATTACAATCTATTAACCAACATTGAGGTATTATTATCCAGAGTCCATAATTTATTTTAGGGATGAGTCACTCTTGATATTATACATTCTTTGGGTTTTAACAAATGTAAAATAACATTTGTCCACTGTTAGTATCACACAGAATTACTTCATAGCCCTAAAATCTCCTCTATGTCACCTAATCATCCCTCCTTCCCTGGTCCCAAATGCCTGGCAATTACTTAACTTTCTACTCTCTCCATAGTTTTGTCTTTTAAGAGTATCATATGTTTAGAATGATCATCAGTATAGCCTTTCACTTAACAAAATGCATTTAAGTTTCCTCCATGTTTTTTCAAGTCTTAATATTTCATTTATTTTTGTCACTAGTTAATATTCTGTTGTATGGATTTCCCACAGTTCATGGCTAGAAATTTAGGCCTCTAGCAAATAGTCATATGGGTGTGTCCCCTAGAAAAGCAATCCTGTACCCAGTCAAGCCTGCAGGTAAGTGCAGTCCCAGATACATGCTCACCGGGAGGTGGTGTGCTCTTTCCTCTGTGTGTGTGCTACTTGGGGTCTCTTTGTGTTCCTGATCCCCTCTTCTCCTGGGCCCACCCTACTTATCTAATTTTAACATAATCACTCTTTTAAAAACCCTATCTCCTGGGCCCTCCCTGGTGACGCAGCAGGTGAAAGCACAGTACTACTAAGAAGCTAAAGTCATTTCAGCATGAGTTCGAGCCCAGCATGCCCCACATGGTGCGGCAGACCTCTCCCAACCCACCTACTGCTCCCCTCAGCAGTGTACTTCATCAATCTGCCTATTCTGCTTCCCACTCTGTCTCTGGTGAATCCTCTCACTGCCCCTGCACCTCTGGCCTGTACCCCAGTTCTGTATGCATAGATAAATAATTCTTTAAAAAAAAAAAAAACCTACCTCCAAGTACACTTTCTGAGGTACTGGAGGTTAAATCTTCAACACATAAATTTGGAGAGAGGAGTGGAGACACATTCAACTCACAATAGATGGCAAATATATCATAACTGTTAAGCCTTCATATTTTCTTTCCTGATGCTTCAATATCCCCATAAGCAGCTTGTGAGCATGAGGTGCACCAATGTGAGAAAACTGATTCCTGCCACAATTTCCCCTTCTTCTACTCCCCTGCCTATGACCTAGTGACATGCAACTACACTGGGAAATCCCGACACCTTTTGTTGTATGCTCCACACAGATCCCAATGAAGGCACCCCTCGTGCTCTCTGCTCCTCATCTGCTTAGTTGGGCTGGCTCCTTGGGTACTCCTCTCATAGGACCCCCTGCATGGCGTGTTGTGTCTCCCTCTTTTAGAACCAATGGGTGTAGTAAGTCCTCTATACCTTTTTGAGTTAATTTCCACACTTAGTAAGAATTATCCCTAAATACCCTATCCTTAAACACCGTATCCCCCCATTTATAGCACAGTAAGATTCTGAATTTTCAATATATCATTGCTGTCATATGATGAGACTGTTGGGGACTCTGGAAGAGAGTATTTTTCACGTGGGAAGAATATAAATAATTTGTGACCATAGGCAGAATATAGTGGTTTTAAAAGATATCCATGAGTTCTTGATGGTTTTCCTATCAAGAAGTAAATGTTAATTCCTTTCCCCTTGAATGTGGGGTGGGTTTAGTAATTTGTTTTCAAAAAAATATCAATAGAATAAGGTGAAGTGACAGTGTATTTCTCCCAAAACAGGGTCATAAAAGGTACCGGAGTTTCCTCCTCATTGCTCTTTCTTAGGTCACTAACTCTAGGGGGAAGTTACTTCTAAACACCCATGAAAAGGACCTTATGGCAAGAAATTGGCTTCCCTGCCAACAGTCCTATGACTAAACTTACTGGAAGTAGATCCTTCAGTTCCAGTAAAGTCTTCAGATAACTTCAGCCAACATCTCAAATATAATCTCATGATAGGTCCTAGGTAAGACCATTCACCTAAGCTGTTCCCAGATTCTTGATTCCAGAAGCTATGTGAAACAATATTATTTCAAGCCACTAAGGTTGTCTATATCTCTAAGGAAGACACTATGGCATCCCTTTGTCTGGTGTTCCTTCCCTCCAGCATGACAACTTCAATAAGTCCTCCAGTAAATCCTTGCTAACTACCAGGAGAGAGAAATACAAGGGCAACACTTAGTTTTCAGACCCGTGTATTGGATTCTTCTCAGAATATTTGTTTGAAATTGGGAAATCCACAACTTTTGGTTAGGTATGGTAAGAATATGATGCAAATCAAGTAGAAATCAGTTAAACAGATAATGTTGAACCATATGAAATTGCCAACATTTAACTGTTAAAACAGTATCATAGGGTTAAACCAATTGTGTGTGTGTGTTTATCACATTCAATCCACTCACAGTTTGTCCCAATACATTCATCCCTCCTCTAGCTGGCTGTCATCATGATTCCATCTGGAGGGATATGACAAAATCAAGTCATAGGTGCTCTCTGGGGAGACCAGCCGTTCAGTGTAGGCTGTGTGAACCCCAGTAGTCATCCCCAGTACTGCCAAACCATCTGCTGCATGTATTCATAAGACTGAGTTTATAACCCAAACATGTCTTTCGACCTTAGAACCTGACCCTAACATTTTCCTTGTGGAGTGTATGAAGAGCTAGAAAGTGGTTAGAAGTGGTGAAGTTGGTAGTTGGTAGTGGTAATGATAGTTATAGTGTTGGTTGTAGTAATAAAGGTAGCAGTGGTAATGAGTTGAGGATAGTGGTCGTGGTTAGATGGTAGTGATAGAGGTGAAGGTGGTGGTACAGTTGAGGATAGTAGTGGCAGTGGGGGATGTATAATGGTTGGGAGAAGATATAGATAGGGTGGTAGAGTTGGGGGTGGAGTTAAGGATGGTGGTGGAGGTTATGGAGATAAAGGTGATAGTGGAGATGGAAGTATGGGAGATGGTAGAGGTAGAGGTGGTAGAGGTTGGAAGGGTACAGTTGGAGATGGTGCTGGTCTCAGGGTTTAGTGTGTTCTCAGAATTCTCAGTGGTTGGGACACAGCAGAATTTCTGCCCGGTCACATAGTGCAGCCACACTCCTCCTTGTGATCTCCTGTATTTAACCTGCCTCTTACCCTGGAGCCATTTTGCCATTGAATCCTTAACTATGTATATGTCAAATTCACAAATGATATCTCTGCTAACAACTACCTCTATCTACAACCTAACAATGCTAGGAAAGGGGTAACAAAGTTTAAAGAGACTTAACTTTCAAGAGGTGTTTGTGTGTTATGCGTGAGGTTAGACAGGTTTGGAGATAAACAGGTGCCAAATGTCTTCCAGATAGGAAAAACTGGGAAAGAAACATGTTCTTTCTCCCTTCCTCTCCTTTAAGTCTCCAAGAACTGCAGGACATGATAAACAAGAGTATTTATTCCAAGTTCCAATTTATCTCCCAACTTGTGGGCAAGGCAGGAACAAGGAAGTGCTGTTAAAAGCTGACCTAAAATCCTCTCTCTCCAATACTTTGCATTGATAATAGGCAATCTACTCAAGGGTTGTAGGGGTAGCTGTGGAAGGGGATTCAGATGAATGGTCAGAACTTGGTGCTGGGAGTTCAGAAATTTTGTTTTTTGACTCAGAATCCAACAGTTCCGAAAGTTTGTTCCTTGACTCCGAATCCAGTTGTTCAGAAAATGCCTTCTTTGACTCAGAATCCAAGGGTTCCGAAAGTTTGTTCTTTGACTCAGAATCCAGTTGTTCAGAAAATGCTTTTGACTCAGAATCCAAGGGTTCCAAAAGTTTGTTCTTTGACTCAGAATCCAGTTGTTCAGAAAATGCCTTCTTTGACTCAGAATCTAAGGGTTCAGAAAATTTGTTCTTTGACTCAGGTTCAGAAAGTACTTTTTCTAACTCAGCATCTGAAGATGATTTCCTTTGCCCAGGATCCAGGTCTTCCTTCTGGTTGACAGAGTCATTTAAGATGTTGGAGGTAATCTCTTCAATGTTTTGTGGTGAGCTGTAATTACTGCTGCTGGACTCAGTCTCAGAAGGATGGATCGGAACCGGACTCCAGCTGAAGTAGCAGAGACTCCCTGAGAAAAGCCAAGGGGATAGGGAGAGGAAGGTCACCATGTAGGAGGAAGCGGCAGGCAGGATGGAGCCAAAGAAAAGTCCCTAAGAGCCAGTCCCTAGGGGATTGCCAGCCCCCTGCTCCCTCCACACTTTTTCCACCCATCCGCACACATGTCCCTTCCTTCCCAGGACCCTCCAGGCCACTCACCACAGGTGATATAAAGGATAAACACCAACCAACCAATGAAATAGCTCCAGCCAATGGGGATCAATACATTCTTCTTCAATTCAAAAATCCAGAGGTTAATAGGAAACAACATGAGGGTGCAGAAAATGAAGATAACTAGGAGACAAGGAACAGAGAGATCTTATTCTCACCCAAGAATCCCAGAGGGACTCTCCCATATCTACTAAACCACAGCTACAAACCACAACTCCCTTTGCACAGAGTACTGCTCCCCAGAGGTTCATGAGAAACAACCCACCTCTACCTCTCCAGTGGCTGGGAAATGATGGAATCTTGTTCTCAGTCAACAACTACTAGTTCTGTTCTCTTACCACCCACAAAACCCCCACCCCACTCCCCTAAAAAAGTAGAGGGAGAAGTGCCTGTGAAGATATGGGTTAGGAGAAACGAAGGACCTTTTTCAGAGTTAGGGGGCACCTTCAGAGAAGCTCATGACAATCCCAATCCAGCCAAAGAAGGGCAGTTTCTGGAAAACAAGTAGGTACGACAGATGCAACCAGATGGTGAGGATGAAGCCCAGCCCTAAGGCGAGGCTGAAGGTTATCTTGGCCAACCCAAATATCGGGTGATTTGTCCACAGCTTAAAACTGTCTGGGGAAAATGAAAAAAAAAAAAAAAAAACACAGAATAACTAAGGATTCACAAAAAGACAAAAATATGATCAAATAAACAAATATGAGAAAATGCTCAGCTTCACTAGTAACCAAAGAAATGTATACTTGAGCGTTTCACATTATTTTTTCATAAACATTCTTAATATGGCAATTGTTTGATAATTTCAACCAGATGAAATGTAAACCTCAATAGAAAAAATGGACAGGGGACTTGAACTGCAATTCTCAAATGAAGAGATCAAATGCCAAAAAAATACACATGAAACTCAATGAATTGTAAATTGACTGTGATTGTGTGTGTGTGTGTGTGTGTGTGTGTGTGTGTGTAAGAAATGGGGTATAGGCCAATGGGGCAGGATGAGAGGATTCACCAGAGACAAAGTGAGGAGCAGAACAGGCAAATTCACTGAAATACACTGCTGAGGGGAGCAGCAGGGAGACAGGAGAGGTCTGCTGTGCCATGTGGGTCAGCTCCCTGTTGGAGATCTAACTCATGCTGCAGTGGCTGCAAATAGCTGCACTTAATCCCTTGTGCCACCAGAGAGGCTCTAACTGGGTTATTGTATTCAATAAAAATGATGATAAAGTAATGATACTTCTCTGTGAATTGAATGTCTTCCCTTAGAAATGAAAAACTGGGGAGGGGCCTGGAAACCAGCTTTGGGAAGCTCACTCCTCTGTGTAATCTTTTGTATTTCTTTTGAATTATCAGTCTTTTCAGATAGTATCAAAACAAATAAGTTTTAAACATTAGTGATGTTATAGAGTAATGATTTAATGGGATGAGTGAATGCTTACAACTGTAAAATGAAGTTTGCAACTGAGCATGTAGAATGAGAATTTTGAAAAAGAGCATTTATTAAAATACCAATAAGTGTAATTATTATTAAGTATACTTATTATTAAAATACAAATAAGTACACTTATTTGTATTTATTTTGCATATGTATACAAAAGATATGTACCTCATATATTTAATATAGCTAAATATACACACATAAAAGACAGGAAGTAAATACATTATAATGTCAACTGTCATACATCTATGTGTAGAAATTATAGGTGACTTTTACTCTTTTTTAAATTTCCTGCATTTCTCACAGTAACTGTGTAACCTTTTTTGAGTCAGTCAGAAAAATTATAATTATCATTTGTACATTAACTATTTAGAAGATATGCAAAAACATGATGAGGCACACTTTCAGACACTGTTAGTGGAAACAAATTGCTATCATATTTTTCAAAAGCAATAAAGAAATTTTTATTGCTTAAAATATCTAAATTCTTTGATCCAATACGTCCATTCTGGGAAATCTATACCACAGAATTAAAGCTAAACACAGAAAAAAACATTAAGATTAACAAACTTGTTGGTACTTTTCTCTCAAATATGAAATTGGAAATAAATTTGCCAAGAATAAGAAAACGAAATAGCTAAGTCAAGGGCAGAGATATCTCTTAAGTTATGGTCTCTTCTAATATGAGAAGTTTATTTTAGCTCATGATAATAAAATTAGTGTAAAAGATAAAATTATTTGACCCTCCCTGGTGGTGCAGTGGGTTAAAGCACAGCACTAAGAAGCTAAAGCCACTTCAGCATGAGTTCAATCCCCACCCCGGAGGTGACCACATGGCGCGGCAGACCTCTCCTGACCTGCCCGCTGCTCCCCATCAGCAGTGTACTTCGTCAGTCGGCCTGTTCTGTTCCCCATTCTGTCTCTGGTAAAACCTCTTGCCACCCCTGCACCTCTGACCTGTACCCCAGTTCTGTATGTATAGATAAATAAATCTTAAAAATATATAAGATAAAATTATTTATGAAAAATGAGCACAACTGGGTAAAAACGATTTAAAACCTATTTGATTTTGAGAAGTCTGGGGGAAATGAAGAGCTCAGTAAATTGTGAGTGTTTGAGTAACACTGTCAAGCAAAGTAGGTGTGTATCAGGGTGCCAGGGAAAAGGCAGGTTTCAGGTTCCCACCCCCACCCTGCAAATGAGGGTAGAGCTGAGCTGGGAGGAGGAGAAGCTGGAGAGGCAACTGGGGAAGGAAGGAAGAAAATAGAATGTGTGTATATGATAAGTTTTTTCTTCCCCAAATCTATTTTATTTACTGCTCTCATCATGGAATAAAATAGTAGCTGTGTAACTTTTTTTTATGTTAATGAGAGTAAAGAAATGGAAATGGGGTTCCAAAACCCTGGTTTTTCTGAGAGCTGAGAAATGCTAGTAAAAAGATTCAAACTTCCAGCTATAAGATGAACACGGTCTAATGTTAAACATGGTGACTATAGTCACTGTATTATATAACTAAAATACTAAAGAAAGTTTAGCATATGTTCTCAGGGAGAGAAAAAGTGGATGTGCTGATTAACTAGATGGAGGAAATTTTTAAAAAATATTTATTTATCTATGCATACAGAACTGGGGTACAAGCTAGAGGTACAGGGGCAGTGAGAGGATTCACCTGAGACAGAGTGGGGAGCAGAATAGGAAGAATGATGAAGTACCCTGCTGAGGGGAGCAGCGGTGAGACAGACAAGGTCTGCTGTGCCTTGTGGGTCAGCTCCCGGGGCTGGGATTGAACTGGTGCTGAAGTGACGCAGAGGTTGGCTTCACAGTGCTGCCTTTGAACTGGCTGCACCACCAGGGAGAGCCCAGGAAATTCTTTTAGAATTTATATCAAATCACCATGATGTACATGTTAAATATTTTAAATTTTTAAATGTCAATTATACCTTAATAAAGGCGGGGTTAGGAAAGGAGCCCCTACATTGGGACGTGAAACTAATAAGAACTGGGACTGAAGTGGATGCAAGAGGACTGAAAAGGATCAAAGAAACCAGGCATAGAAACCCAGAGATAACCCCAAAAAGCAAAATCTGAGGCAGAAGAGAAGGAAAAATAGCTGGGATCTAAGGTCTGGAGGAGTTCTTCCCAAAGTTCTGGGGATACAAGCCCAGAGGAAGGAAATCCCCCCTGCCTGGGTCTCCTCTCCCAGGATACCTGTTAATTATGTGTGGTAAGTGATTCCATGAGTATCCATACACTTCCACCACATTTTCGTTAGCACAGAATTACTGAGACTTATTCAAAACAGTGACATATTCTATTCATATTCTATTAAGGCTAATGGCTTTAATTTGAATCAATTTAGGAGTGAAAAAATGAACTTTGGGGATCTCAGTGTCAGTGGTGGAGCCATTTTGCAAGCGAAAATAGTGGGGATGACCAGAAGAAGGAGATAAAAATTACAGGGTACAAACAGAAATCAAGGCGGGTGAGTACCCTGGGGTGCCGTAAGGTTTGAAGGGTTTTTTACCTTTCCCGTTCTCTGAGTTGGGACAACGCTTGGATTTGCAGACCTGTAGAAGCCCCATGGACATAATGTGAGCTGATGTATAGATTCTGGTACTAACATTCATGGGCCAGCGCTGGTAGAAGCGGCTCCCAGAGAGATACAGCCATTTCTTGGAGAATACCATGACCAGCAGCAGGATAAAGGCGATCAGGCTGAGCTCTGAGGCCAGTATCCGTGCTAGCCAGTGGGGGCTGTGCTTCATTTTCCATTGTGCCCCATCCAGGGGCAATAAAGAGACCTTGTGACTCTCCGTGGACACCTGCCTAGCATTGTCTAAGTCCAGGACTGAGCAACAGTTTTCACAAGGTTGACCCAGGCTCACCTCTACCTTATCCTGCTCCCCAGCCTTCCCCTCGCTTTCCAGGTCTCTTATGCTCATGCCTTTCTCCTCCTGACCCAACGAACTCATCCCTAGAGCCCCCTGTCCCCATCTTGTACACCCTCTGTCTCCCCTTCTATCCTCCACCCCATTGTCCCTTTCCCTTGTTAGGGTCAGTTGTGCCTCATCTTTCAAATATTTCCATCAGGTAGAGCAGTTGCCACCATTTGGCCTGGGGTCTGGGAAAGAAAAACTCATTCAGCAGAACAGGGCCCCTAACTGCCATGGAATATTCTTGGGGGGGGAGGTGGAGGGAGCAGCCAGATGGGGGAGGGGCTCAAGGCTTGAGCTCCAACTCTTTCTCTCAATCCTGTTCCTCAGGACCCAACTCAAAACTATGGATTGGTGCATCCTTTGCCCTAAGAGCAGCGAGTCTGAGGGCCTCCTTTTCTCTTCCCATCTCCTCTACCCTAACCCCATCCCCAAATCATTCTCACTGATGGACCCAGAGGAGGGAGAAAGAGTTTCCCCGTCCCATCCCCAGAAAGCATGCCCCCTTTGTTATTTGGAAATGTCTTTCCAAGGTAAAATTAACCTTCCCACTACTACTCTAGTCCCTTGTCTCCTCTCCTGCCTATACTCACATCCCTTCCTCCCTCTGGGTCTTTTTCCATTTCTTTTCTCTCAAGAAGACAGGGATGACAGAATAAGCAGGGAAGACATGAGATTTGTCATACAATCTGAGATATCCCTTTTAAGTTAAATCTGAGTCACTTGTCACAGGCAGCCTGATCATACAGGCATCTAGACTTTAGACAGCTGAAACTTTTTTGAGAAGAGAGCCTTTCAAATTTGGATGTGAGTTTGAATTTGGTTGGTACACTCTGTGGAGACAGTGACATATATGGCTAAGGACACAGACTTTAGGGTCCAGTAGGCAGAGGGATGAATTGGGGGCCTTTCTCCTAAAAGCCTATGAACCAGGTGAGTCGTATAGCTTTTTTTTTACCTGTGTACTCATCTGTAGCACAGTGACAAGTCTCAGACTTGGTTTGAGTATTGAGAAAATGGACAAAAACCACTCACTGTTCATGGTAAACTTCCATAAAGTAGAAGTTTTTCTTGTTAAATTATCATTCCGGCCCTCCCTGGTGGTGCAACGGGTTAAAGCACTGCACTAAGAAGCTTAAGCCACCTCCGCATGAGTTCGATCCCCACCTGTCCCAGAGGAGATACACTTGGTGCAGCAGACCTCTCCTGACCCGCCCGCTGTTGATCTGTCTGTTCTGCTCCCCACTCTGTCCCTGGTGAATCCTCTCACCTGCCGCATCTCTGGCCTGTACCCCAGTTCTGTATGCATAAATAAATAAATCTTTAAGAAAAAATTATCATTCCAATTGTCTTAACTTCTTTCACTAACAGATAAGGAGAAAAAGCAGGTTTTTGATAGACATTCTGGCAATGTAGTGACTGCAAATGAAGAAAGAGAATGTGAATTGGTTGAAACAAAATGAGAGTAAGTCATGAATTCCCAGGTCTTGTGCTTAGCTGGAACTCAGGAGTGGCTGGAATTGGGAATTCAAATCCTACGAGGGTTCTTCCTCTGTGTGTTAATCCATTTAGGCTGTTACAACAAAATATTTCAGGCTGGGTAGCATATAAACAACAGAAATTCTTTCCTCACAGTTTCAGAAACTCGAAGTCCAAGTTCACAGTGCTGGCATGGTAGGCATGGTAGGTGAGGGCTGTTTCATGGCCCCAAAATTCTTGCTGTGTTAAAAGGTGCAGCTAGGGAGCTCTGTGGGGTCTTTTCTTTTCTTTTAATCTATTTTTTAATAATATAATAGTTTATTTTTACATCATTTTGTGCTTTTTTCTATCACAGTTGTAATACGTGTGGGCTTCCCAGCACCAAATCACCCGTGTGCCATCACCATAGTCCACTACACTTCCCTCCCCTGTGGGGTCTTTTTTATAAGGGCACCAATCCCTCATGACCTAGTCACCTTCCTAAGACCCCGCGTCCTTATACCATAACCTTAGGAATCAGTTATGAATTTTGGAGGATACAAACATTCAAACTCTGTATCTGTTTTACTCCTCCCTGAGCATCTTGCTCTTCCTTTGTAAACTCTCCTCCCTCTCTCCTTTGGCCCACAGAGCCAGAAACATGGCCTCTCACTCCTTACACATTTGGCAGCCAGAGTGGAGACTTCCCAGTCCCAAGCCCAAATATTCACTGGCCCTGTCAGGACATGACAGAACAATCACCATGGTCAGGGTGCCTGCGTGAGCAAGCTAACCCCTGAAGACAAATGGGGGAGCAATGCTGGGAGAGGGGGTGCTGGCCTATGGAGAATGTCATTCATGCAGCAGTAATGATCTTCAGGATTTCATTTCCTCCCATGGATTTATTTTAGTTTTCCTGGAGAGTCTAAGAGTTTCTAATCATAATAAGCTAGTCTAACAGCAACAGGAAACACAACAGAAAACAGCATGGAATGATCTTGGAAATAGAATGTTTCCTGGAAAATGTAACTCCCAGAAAATTACATTATAAATATGATATAATTTTGTAGAGCTCATAAACAAGCACAATTAAGCCATTGTCTAAGCAGATTATTATGGTTGTATATGTTTTTAAAAGTAGTGGAATAATAAACATGAAATATGGCATGGTGGTCAGTTCTGAGAGCAGGCAGGGCGACAGAACTAAGAGGATTACACTGGCACATGCACATTGTTGGTAACAGGTTCTTTGCTCCTCAGCTGGGTGATAGATGCATGCATATTCATTATAGTATAATAACTGTGACATTTCGCATAATCCTGTGAATGTATAAAATGTTGTTTTTCAAAGCTAATTAAAAATAGTTCAAGAAAGGAAATGTAATCTTAGTGATCACCAGCTCTGCTGTGGAAGATATTTATATACTCACAATATATAAGATAAACAGAGTTAATTGAATTTCAACTTTTAAAATCAACAGATGGACAAAACACGGAAGACTTAACTATAGCTACAAAAGTAAACAGAATGGCTATCAGCTTTGATGTTGCCCAAGTAAAAGCCTAGAAGTAAACTGGAAGGTGGAAGGAGAAGAGAGTTGCAACGAATGGCAGAGGCCTGACAACAGTGTCAACATGTAAGTTAGCGCAGGATGCGCTCTGCACAAGCACATGCCTTGAAGGGTGAGTAAGGACTGAACTCCACTCTACCACTTCCAAAGGGGATCAGTGACATGGAACAGGAGGTGCTTTGTTCTTTATCTCATAAAGTTGTTCCATCCACTGAAGCCAAACATCCCCATGCCTGTTCAGCGGGGCTGTCTGTTAACCACAATATTAACAATGAGGCATAAAGGTGACTCATGGATCGGAGATAGTCCTAGCTCATTATTTTTAAGTGTTGTGTATTGGTGAGAGTTCTTTGGCTGCAAGTGTAAACCCAGACTTACTAAATTAAGTCACAAGAAGTATACTGAGGAGATAGATACTGGATGAACAGACTCAAAGAGGAAGCTGTATATCTAGGCTAGAACTAAGAGAACATGGAGGAATCCCTAACAAGAACTGCTACTCTATGCATTGCTTCCCCACAGTTCACCCCTACTAACCTCTATCCTTCTCTATTCCTAGCCAGGACTCCAAATCCCAAGAGTCTGGCTGGCCTGGGAAGGTCACGTATTGCATCTGAGATGGGAAGGTGATGCCCTGAAAACCCACTAGAGACACATAAACTTGGGGGTGGATAGTTCTTCCAAAAGAATGGGAGCCAAGCTGTTAAAAAATAATAACTTGTTCATACATACTTAGAGTTGCAGGCAAAATGGGTGCGAGGCTGAGAGCTTTTATCTGCAAGGCAGGAACCTGGAAACCTGTAGTGTACAATAGCCTCTCAGTGACCACAGGCAAAGTCACTCAGGAGAACAGGGACTCAGACTTATTTTCACTCCTTGACTGTCTGTGTGAACTTGCTCTGCTATCTGCACAACATTCAGAAATAGCCCTACCACAGGCCTGCTTACCTGGCACAAACACCAGTGTGCATGTACTTTATGGCGAGCTCTCTGGCATGGCTAGGTTATTTCAATGGGCAGTTCCCTCCCATTTTCACCAGTGAAAGTATGCACATTTCTTTCATGTAAGTCAGTTAGTATTCCTGAAACTCTAATGTATACTAATGACTTGGGCATACCTTTAAAATGCAGCTACTACACTTCTTACAAGCTCCCAGATATTGCTCATGCTGCTGGTCCAAGGATTACACGCTGAGTAGTGAAGCTGTAGAAGACCTGGGTTGCTGGACCCTCCCCTGCAGGGTGCCCCTTGACTGTGGGCACATAAGAAAATGTTATGCAGATCTGACTGGCTGTTTTCTGCCTCTTGCTCCATTTCTGTCCACAACATCTCCTGTACTGTCAACTTTGGCTTTCCTAGCCAAGGTCATCCATGACAACTTGGGCATCATGGAGGGACTCATGATCATAGTCCATGCCACTACTGCCACCCAGAAGACTATGAACAACCTCTCCAAGAAGCTGTGGCATGATAGCCAATGGGTTACCAAGAATATCATCCCCACTTCTACTGCACCACCAAGGCTCTGAGCAAGAGCCCCAATAGCTGAACAGGAAACTCACTGGCATGGCCTTCCATATCCCCATATTTAGTGTGTCAGTTGTAGATCTGATCTGCAGCCTGGAGAAAGCTGACAAATACGATGACACCAAGAAGGCAAGGAAGCAGGGCATAGTAAAGTAATGGTTACAAGATGAGAGGTGGTATAGAAATATGAATGACTCCTACTGTGACCAAAACAAGAAGTATATGGGTAGTGGAGGAGACGTAAAATTAAGATATTCATTCTCAATAATGAACACCTGAAATTTATATCATGTTATAGTGCAATGTTACTTCAATTACAATTAATTAGAATAATAAAATAAAAATATACTGAGAGCCTGCTGTAAACTTCCAGTTAGAAAATATATTAATCATGGGGATATAATATACATAGAGCAAATAACTATAGCTAATAATACTGTTAATAGTTAATAATACTGTATTGCATATTTGAAAGTTGCTTAAGAGTTCTCATCACAGGAAAAAATTGTAAGTATATGGTGAAGGAGGTTAACTAAATTTATTGTGGTCACCATTTTGCAATGCATACAAATATCAAAAGTTATACACCAGAAACTAATCTAATAATATATAAAATATAGCTCAATTAAAAAAAAATACCCAGAGACAGAAGCTTGTCTGTGGAAAATTCTTCCAATCACTGGATGTAAAAAATTAGAAACTGGTGACTTCAATTTTTGTCCAGGCATAGTCAAAACTGACATTCTGACCTGGCATCAATATCCTCAGCAATGCATCATCTATAACTGAAAATGCAGTATACATGTTTTCTTTTTTGATACTAGTCATATAAATTAGAATTTATCAGCATTCCTGTGTTCGCAGGGTACAAATCTGTAACGGGCCTCTAAGTGGCAAGTACATCTATAAACAAGTTGAAAGATGAATCTTTACACATACATATGACTTTTGACGTATATGATACATTTTGTCCTGCAAGGACAAGGTCTAGCAATTTCGAAAGCGATGGACATATCATGCCCTACCACAGAGTAAACCAACCTAAAAAAGCAAAGTTTCAGTGACAAACTCCTATGTATATTAACCTGTAAACCAATGTAGGAAGTAATGAAAATTTTGATTAGCCAGTTAATGAAAAACAGATCTATAAGCCAATGAATTAGAAAATATTTGGCTTTTGATGATTTGGCACATAACATATCAATAAAATGAGGACATCTGTGGAGAAACTGGTTCATGAGTACCGTCAATTCAAAAACACTTTAAGGATAGTAACCATATATGAAAACTTGAAATGCCCTGATATTGTAAGAGATTATATGTGAATTGATAACTGCTTTCCAAAATTTGTTAGCATTTTAAAATGTATTTATCATTACCAATGACATTGAAAGAAATATTCCTAAAATTTCAATAATAAACACATCTTAACCAATCACGCTGGAGGAAAAAACTGAATTATTCGCTCAACAGAAAATCAGAAATAGGCCCTCCCTGGTGGCGCACCGATTAAAGCTCAGCACTAGGAGGCTAGCTGCAGCAGCTTTAACATGAGTTCGGTCCAGCCAGGGAGGTGACCCACGGCAGTGTACCTCATCAATCTGCCTGTTCAACTCCCCACTCTCTCTCTGTTGAATCCTCTTACCACCCCTGTATCTCTGGCCTGTAACCCAGTTTTGTGTGCATAAATAAATAAATCTTAAAAAAAGAAAATTATAAAATTGTTATCATATGAAGAAACAACGACAGTCTGCAAGCAAAGATCCAGGAAGAAAAAAATTGAGAAGTGTTAAAGTCACAAAATTTTCTTATTTTTCTGAGGCTTTGTGTTGCATTTGTCAGCTTTTAAAAATACGTAATTTATTGTGTTCGAACATTCTACATTAAAATTTGACGTTCATACCCATTTTTTAATTCACATTTTGTACTTTTATATATATCCAGAAGGGCAGGTTTGTTAATTTAAAAAGGGCGGGGGGGGGGGGGTGGGGAAAATGCTTGCACCGACACAAGCTGGCAGGATGAGCTGACATACTTTTTATTATTTTTCTTTAGAAGGACCCCACAAAATCTGGATTCAACCCTTCCTACAGAAGCCATCTTCAGATTTCCAAGCATAGGGAAAG